AGTATCTTTTTTAGATCAGATTGTTTTAAAGGTGTAACAGATCTAAAAACATTCCCCACTTGAAAATAAACACAAGGAAATTATTTACTTGATGTTTAGCTGCTCACTCCATAGACTACTCTCTAAGAATCTATTTTCTACATATAGGTTGCAAGGTTTAAAATGCTGAATTTTGATAATTCCTACCTTGGTATCCAAAACATCCAAAAGCAATACATGAATATCCACTCCACTATAATCTCTTAAAACTCACTAATACATGAACATTCTTTTTAAATTTAACTTTAAAGGCTATATTTGCATATTTTATTTTCAATGAATTTATTTTTAAAACAGTTCAATAAAATTATAATTTGAAGTCAGTGGCAATTGTTTTTTCCATGTCCACTTGAGAGAAATGTCACGGAGTTAAAGAGCAAAATTAAACCATAAAAATTTTTTGATATCTAAAATATGTCAATATTTATAAAAGGGAAAGAAAAAAGAAAGAAGGGAAAAATAAAGAAGGAACAGAGGTAAGGAGGAAAAGGAGGGAGGGAGAGGGATTTTTCTTCAAAATTTTCACCGCGATAAATGAATATTATCCTTCAGAATACAGGATAACCAATGATCCAGGTGTTCAAAATTCAGGAATTTCTTACAGATTCACAGCCAAAATCAGATGTCACTAGGCAGTTGGCAGCCTGACACTCAGATACATGTGCCTGGAAGGGGTGCTACAGCAACCCTGTTCAAGGCCTTAAAATACTTCACACTTCACATCAGAAGTCACACTAAGACTCTCTGATGCCCATCAAACCCCAACTTCTTTCCCAGACTACAGTCAGATCAGTCTGTTGCGTTTTATACAGTATTTCTTTGTACCCCTGGCTTACAGTCCCCCATTACTAACAAAAAAATGTGTCTCCTGGTCTAGGATCTTCCAGTTTAAGCTCATAAAGCACATAAATTGTGGTGCTCTCCAACTCTCACCTCTGAAACAGAGCCAGTGTGTGGGGCTGGAGACGTGAGAGAGAGAACAGCACCCAAGAACCTCTTAGGGCAGTTTTCATTATACTCAACCTCTGAGCAGCATATAAAGCAAAGGAAAACACATTCCCTCTTCTCATTCTTCTCTCCAGAAGGTTGGAGGGGGAGGTGCGTATGTGATCAGATTTGGAGTGGAAGAAGACCATTTAACTTATTTAAAAATTTACCATTTACATTCTAGAAAGAAAGAGGTAATGTTCAATTAAAAAGTATATACTGAGGTGTGGGGAGAGGAATAGGGTAGGTTGGAGATGGGAAGGGAAGAGAACACGCTCCCTTCTGGTTGTTTTCTCCCAGTTCCCAGGGAATCCATCTTTAATACTAAAGCAAACACTGATGCATAATAATGCTTAAGAACCTAGGCTTTTAGAAAATGAAATGAATAATCTAAAACAGAGCTTTTATTCTGGAAGAAACAAACATCTCAAAAAAAAAATCCTAAAACATTTCAGGAGGGGAAATAAAGATATGCAACTGCAATAATTCTGATTCTTATTTCAGACAAAAGTCAGATGAAGAATCTATGCAGCTACATATACTAGGACCTATTACACACCATCCCCCACCCCCATATAAAGAAAAAAAATGTTTTTCAAAACAGTTAGGAACAATATTCATTATGAAGAGAAAACAATCACATGTGATTTCTGGAAATGTTAGTGTGACATGGAGTCCTTAAGAAATAAATCACAGCCATCGTTGCGAAGAGTACAGAAGCATGAAACAGACAACGAAAATGACCGAAGAGTGATGAAGGGAGCCTGCAGCTCCTTTCTTGCAAAGGTGGCAGCCAGGGACGTCTCCACAAAGGTCACAAGAGGATAGCTTCGCTTTGGAGTTGTAACTTCTCACCGCTTGTCTCCCTGTTCAAAGAGGCAACACTGGTTTACACATCTCCCTTGTTTAGAAATATTTGCCAAAACTTAAGAGCACTTCAATACACTTTCCTGAGTTTTCCATTCACGTAATTTTATTGTTCTTTACAAGAAACAACTAAAATGCTACATCAGTTCAAGAGGGGTCCAAACTGCTAACCAAATCCAAGAGAGAAACAATGCTTTTCATCCAATCTATCTCCCACGGACAGTTGGCCAGCATTAAAAGAGAGAAGATAGAGTGCAGTTGCACAACTTAATCTCTTATTGGAAAAGGAAAGATTTTAAATTGAGGACTGTTTAACCTCCTCAAGAGAAGCATTGTCTAAGCATTCAAATAAAGATTCTAATAATTGGAACTACTCAAGACAGATACAATGGGCTTTATTAAAAAGTATACACGTATGAAGCCAAGTCTGCAATGTCTTGTTTAAACGTGTTAAAACATTAAGCACATAGTATCTAAATACTATTTATCCAACCTGAGTAAAACTGATAGCACAACCTAATATAAAAATTCTATGCGAAGCAGTTGGAGCCCGGGTGGTGCAGTGGTTAAGAGCTACGGTGAGCTATGGTTCGTAGCTACAGCTACGAATCCACCAGCCGCTCCTTGGAAACCCTATGGGGCAGTTCTACTCTGTCCTATGAGTTGGAATCGACTTGATGGCAGTGGGTTTTGGTTTTTGTTTTTTTATATGAAGGAGTTACAACACTAGTAAGTATATTCACTATAGTAGATAAATGATTTTTATTTTTATAGTTTCTTTTAAAAAAATTCTACTTTCAAATTTCTTCATAATTTTTCAGAGTTTTTATTATTTCTTTTCTAGCTTTAGGATTTTTAAAAATGGGTTATTAGGGTTTTATTATTCTGGTATTTCCCATATTTTCATTTTAAAATGGCCCTCTCAAAAATAAACTGATTTCTACAAAACACACAGACTGAATCTTTTTCTTTTCTTCCTCCCAACCCCCACCTTAAATGTTTAAACCCTTCTCTGTGCACCTGAGAAACATCAATTAGGGAATTTTGCAACTAGGTTAACAAAGTTGGATAACTAGGTACTGTCAATGGATCTCCATGGTTATCACATCCCTCCCCTAGAAAAAAAGGGCTACACATCACTGTTTTCCCAAAAGGCTCCGTAAGAACCTAGACATAGGATTTTCCCCAAACAAAATAATTCAACAGGAGGCACGAGACAAGAGGGACTGGCTTAATGACTTAAAAGGAGAGAGGACTGACGCTATCCCTTAGTCTAAATGAATATTCTATCAAATGCTACCAACAATGTGAACATGTTCATTTTATTTTAAAGTGTAATTATCTTCAGTTACCTAATACCTGAAGATGTTTACCTCACTCTGAGCTACCAGGATCTAACTTATTACAATTAGAAATGTTAGTCCAGAGACTGCACACTCACAAAAAGCCACTCTGTGACTGAACACAGATTTATTAACTTGGGTGGTTCCAGTCCAGATTTCTACTTCCACATTGAAATTTCATTTTGGAAAGTAAGAAGCTACCAGTGAAATCAAAGCAGCTCAAGTTATTTTCCAAACGGACTATTTTTTTCTTGACACACTAAAAAAATATATTATGTATAAATTTTAGCAAAACAACAGACTCCCTCAGGAAACAAACAGCTAAACCCAAATAGCTGACAGTATTACATTGCGGATGCTGCTCCTGTTCTCTCCTGAAAAACTTGCAGTTTAACACAGGAACCAGACAGAATGAGTACTAGGAACATAAGCAAAACTCTGGAAACTGACCATAACTGGACTCCCTGTGTCAATTTTTCTTCGTAAATTTTGTAGTTGTAAGTTAAAAACCTAAAACATTATGAGTAAAAAAAATTATTTTTAATATTCATATGCTAAATGATATCGTGGGACCTTTGTAAATTATCAATTGTCTTCATTTAAATGGAAAGCTCACCTCCTGGTCCCCACCCCTCCAATTCTCTCCACTCCCACAAGCAATCCAATAGGTGAAGTGGTCACTTGGAGAAAATAAATTCAATAAATGCCTGGCTAAACTTCTAAATAATAGTATTAGGGACTCCAGAACACACTTACTTGGTTCATAGTAATCCACTATGGACACTGAAGCATCTTGGGTATTTGAAACCTTGAAGTTTCTCACAGTAGGAATATCAACACAAAACTGAGTTTCATTTACCTTGAAAAATACAAAAGACTCTTGAGGGGGTGGCAGGCTGTGTGTTCATGATAAAATTAAAAGTTATTTCTTTCTCTCGTCATTTTAGGAGACAGAATCTAACATTTATGGAGGACTTTTACGTGCAGGTACTGCACTAAGTGCTTTTTATGAATTCTCATTTAACTTATAAAGCAACCCTTACAAGACAGATACTGACTTACTTCCATTTTACTGAAAGGGATACTAAGAACTGGAGTGGTTACATAAGCAGCACCAAGGACACAGCTCCTGTGCCCACGGGGCCTCATCCAGGTCCCTTGTCCCAGGCACTGCACCGTCTCCAGCTCCTCTGTCCACTGCTAATGACTCACAGCAGCCTCCTTCTCTGAAGAATTGTCCTCAGCTCATAGGAGTCACCTGACCCAAGAAGTAATCCTGGAGTGGAGGTGCACCCCACAACCAATGACTGACTGGCATGACGTACAAAAGGATGGCACTCCTACATCCAGGAGGGACAGCTTATGCTAATTTGGCAAACAATACTGGTTAAAGAATCTGAAATTGTAAATTCATTCAAACATTCCATTACTTGCCAAGAGCAGTAAATGAAAAGTCAGATTAATCAGTCGAAAATTACTGGACACTCAAATTAAGATAACCATTAACAAGAACATCAGAGGTACAACGACAAACTCCAACCCCGACTACTTCATTAAATAAAAACTTTCTTTTTTTTTTTCAAGTTCCAAATCAGGCTCATGGATTTCAAGCAGCATTTAACATATGGAAATTCCTGCACAGCTAGAGAATCTAGAGGCTCTGAATGGTTTTTTAAGTCCTAAAGCAAATTAGAAAATTCAGAAACCAGCTTTTAAAAAACAGGTATTTAGCAAAATATTTCTGATTCATACTTAGCAAAACTGGTATAAAGAACATATGTATGTATTCCTGCCACCCCATGTAACATGAAATCCTAAAAATGCTTAGAACTCAATCTCGATTCAACCTAGGAGTTTCACATAGATGTTAAAAGAAAAAACTTGTAAGTCATTAGTGTTGAGACATAACAAATAGACTCTGGAATTCTTCATTTACACTCCTTTCAGAACAAAAAATTTTCATATTTTATGTACCTTATTCTTGGGTCAGTAGTTTTCACAGAGCAATGGAAAGAATATACGAAGATTAAATAGTAATACTGTGTCAAAACCAAACCCCTTAGAATATTCTCCTATGATTTAAGCACCTAACTTTTCAATGCAGGAATATTAACCCCTCTGGCATTTGTTAAGAGCTTCATGGAAACACTTTAAAACATATAAAGCTCTCATTCTCAGCATTTAAACAAATAACTAGTAGCAGTTTGCTGAGGCAGGGGTTCTCAAAGTGAGGTATGGATTGAATTTCTGAAGTTATAACACGGTAATTTCTATATTTTTTGTATCTTGCAGGAAATAATGATTTAGTTATCAAGACCTTCAATAGGCTCATCATTAAACATAATTCTCCTTAATTTTACTGAGATGTCTTTTTAGTGGAGACAAATAAATGGTTGCCATGCTAAAATCATTCATGGATACAAAAAGCTGAAATAACAATGACTTAAATAAAACACATTTAAAGTAGACTTTTGAACACAGTAAACGGTGGCTTAGCCAGTAGTTACCTATATGAAACTTGTTTTACTACTTACAGAATCTAAGTATAAGTTGACTTTTCCATGATGGTGCTCCACTTTCTTTATTATGTCGACCAGAGGAATTGCATCTGAAGGCACAGTAAAACCACTGAGTAGGTTAACTTCCATAAGGGCCATGCCACTCCTAGCTGGCCGCAAAAACCTAAATCACAGAGAAAAGGATGGAAGGAAACTGTTTAAGAAAAACCTAAAGTTGATGTTAGTAAATTATCTTCATACAGAAATTCAAACAAATCAAGTCTTATTCCATGTTTTATTCTTTGAGTTCCTATAAAAATCATGGAAAAAAATTTTTTAATCATGGAAAATTTTAAATCAGGTTATCCATTTCCTATATCTGTGATATTCTTATCACATCCAACCATATAGGAAACAATAATATGACCATCTATTCACTTCACAGTATGAAATGTCTACATGTGCTAGTAGGTTGTACCTATTACAGGTACAAGCTACATACCCTTTCAACGGACAATTCTGTTTTCTAGTGACAATTCCAAACTGAATTGCATTTTTCATTTTCTCAAGAACTGACAGGACTAAACTTTCCAGCTGAAAGTCAGAAACTGAAAAGAAGGCATCCCTTGATCACTTAGTGGGAGACCCCAGCCAAGTCCTTGGCAATCTTTTCTTCATCTGGTTTTAGAAACAGAAGACTAGTAGTGAGAGGCTTTCCTTTTGTTCCACATACTTAGAGCACATTTTGTGTTTTCTTTGGCCACCTTGAGAGATTACAAGCCTCGGAAAATTTCACTACACTGCACCATTCTCTCATCGTGTTGTACACAATGCGAGCATCAAAGGATCTGAGCACCAACAACATGCTGTCTCCTTGAAAATAAATATTTTTCTGAAATGAATAGGTGGCAAGAGTTTTGTTGTTTGGAGCAGAAACAGCCCAGCATGGTTATAGAAAGACGTTTGTCTCCAACATGAAAGGATCGTAAATTGTTTAGTTCCTGTTGTCATTTCAGATGGCAAAAGCAAGAAGGACTGTTAGAGAATCTTGCTTTTTAGAGGCAACATGCTGCCTGCCAAACATGACTGACTGAAAAGTCATTCAGTACAACTGCTGACTTCAGCTGGCTCAGCAATCCGAAGCAACTGAAATCATCTGCTGGGTGCTGCACTTAGCCAGAATAGATGCTATTGAAATTAAAAACTGGGTTGAAACTAGAGGCATTTGTAGTGGAGCAAAAATTATGGATGAGAAAAACAGCCAATCTGTTTACATACGGTGACTTTCAGTACATCATCAAAAGTGCCTCGGTGACCTGGTCTTTCCACCAGCCAGGAAAAGATATTGTTATACTGTGATGTCACATAGAAAACCCTTGTCTAAGGTAAGTGATGTCTTGGACCCTTTGATGGGAATACAATTTCAAACATAAGGTAATGTTTCCATAAAATGTCACTGAAAAAAATTCACTTACAATGTTATTTGTGTTTCATATAAGCTTTTTCTCAGAAAAGTAGTGGCAGCATCTAAATCCTTTTTATAAAAGCCTCACCCTCACACATACAAAAAAAATTTCCTTCTTAAGGTCCTCCAAAACATCTTATATATATTCCTTCTGCCTACCAAAAGTCTTTTGTAAACCTGATTCCTGAAGTTGGATATAAGAATTGGAATCCTGAATCCTCATCTAAGTAGCCTCTATAAATGGTGAGGCCCCTTCATGGGCTGAATCCTGGTTCCACTTCATTTTCCTCATCATTTCTTCACCTGACTCCCTGAGAGGTAAAATCCCCCTCAAACAGCTTCATGAGATTCTTCTTCTTAGCCCTTGTCAAAACTAGAGTTTTGCACTTGTTGGGGGATTTTTTTATTATTATTATTAATTTCTGTCTCCTCCTCCAAATAGGAAGCTCTATGAAGTTTAGACCTGTCTCTTTTGGCTCACTATTGTGTGTCACACCTGACACTGGGTCTGGCACATAGTACAGACTCATCCAGCATTTACTGAATGAATAAATACATGAATGAATGAATAAATCAATGAATGAATGAATAAATCAATGAATGAATGAATAAATCAATGAATGAATGAGAAAAGCCAAGGATGATAACACCTACTTTATAGAGTTATTGTAAGAATTAAAGGAGATGCATGTAAAAGTGCTTGGTACAGTGCCTGGAACATAAGTCTGTGATAAATGTATGTTGCTATGTTTATAATAAGGAGCCCTGTTGGCATAATGATTAAGCGCTCAGCTGCTAACAGAAACGCTGGTGGTTCAAACCCACCTAGCAGCTCTGTGGGAGAAAGATGTGGCTATCTGTTTCTGTAGAGTACAGCCTAGGAAACCCTATGGGGCAGTTCTACTCTGTCACATGGGGTCACTATGAGTCAAAATCAACTCCACGGCACTTAACAATAACAACATGATTACAATGATAATAATATGATGCCATTATTCTGGAATAGAGCCCCATTGCTAGCTTTGTAAAGAATAATAGCCTAGGTGTCCATCAATAGATGAATGGATGAACAAATTATGGTACATACACACAATGGAATACTATACAATAATAAAGAACAATGATGAATCTGCGAAATATCTCACACCATGGATGACTCTGGAGGGCATTATGCTGAGTGAAATTAGTCATTCACAAAAGGACAAATATTGTATGAGACCACTATTGTAAGAACTCAAGAAAAGGTTTAAACACAGAAGAAAGCATTCTTTGATGGTTACGAGGGTGGGAAGGGAGGGGGATAGGAATTCACTAGATAGTAGATAAAAATCATCTTCGGTGAAGGGAAGGACAACACACTACACAGGGGAAGTCAGCACATCTGGACCAAAGCAAAAGCTAAGAAGTTTCCTGGACACATCTAAACACTTTGAGGGACAGAGTAGCTGGGGCTGGAGCCTGGAGAACCATAGTTTCAGGGGACAGCTAGGTCAACTGGCATGATAAAGTTTATTAAGAAAATGTTCTGCATCCCACTTTGGGGAGTGGTGTCTGGGGTCTTAAAAACTTGCAAGTGGCCATCTAAGATGCATCAATTGGTCCCAACCCACTTGGAGCAAAGGAGAATGAAGAACACCAAAGACACAAGGAGAATATTAGTCCGAGAGACTAAAGGTTCCACATAAACCAGAGACTCCGCCAGCCTGAGACCAGAAGAACTAGACTGTGCCTGGCTACCACCAATGACCACCCTGATAGGGAATACAATAGAGAGTCCCGGACGGAACAAGGAGAAAAGTGCAGAGCAGAACTCAAATTCACGTAAAAAGATCAGATTTAATGGTCTGACAGAGACTGAAAGAACCCCTGAAACTACAGCCTCCAGACGCTCTGTTAACCCAGAACTGAAACCATTCCCAAAGCTCACTCTTCAGACAAAGATTAGACAGGGCTATAAAACAAAAAAATAGCACACGTGAGGAGTGTGCTTCTTACTTCAATCAGGTACATGAGACCAAATGGGCGGCTCCTGTCTGGAGGCAGGATGAGAAAGATGGAAGGGACAGGAACTGGTTAAGTGGACACAGGGAACCCCGGGGTGGAAAGGGGGAGTGTGCTGTCACATTGTGGGATTGCAACTAATATCACAAAACAATATATGTATAAATTTTTGCATGAGAAATTAACTTGAACTGTAAACTTTCACCTAAAGCACAAAAAAACTAAAATAATAATAATAATAATAATGGAGGGCCTACTTTCTTCGTAGATGAAAAGGAAGTCACTGCACAGATTCTAATGTCCCCCTACTGCTAGTTCAAAATGTCCAGAAAGGTGAGTAATAGGTCAAACACATGTGACATTTTACACCAAAACCATTAACAAGATTTGGACAGACCTAAACAAACGCCTACCTTGTGCACACACTCAAATTCAAGTGGTTAATATCATCTTCATTATCATTTACAGCAACATCTAAATCAAAGGCTTCTTGATTTTGGAGGGATCTTCGTCTTCTAGAAGATTCTAAATTTTTCACATTATAAATAACATTGAGCTGCAATAAATAACAATAAATTAGCAGTAAATTATTAGCAACAAATTGCCATCATTATGAATTCTAAATAACAGGTATTGGTTTTCTTTGGGCCAATCCCAATTAAATTTGGAATAATCTTCAAACTAAAAAAGAAAAACAAAAAGTTTTACTGGCTAACAAAGTTTTGTTATTAACAAATATTCCTGTAAACATTTATAAGCAAGAATTTTTTTAAATTTTCTCATGAGTAATACTGTTTTATTTTATAAGCCAATCTCTTATTTTGATGAAAGTTAACCACTGGAAGTGGCTTCAGTTTCAAGTTCAAAGGGTATCTTAGGGCAACAGTACTTGGGGGTTCCTGTAGTCTCTATCAGTCCAGTAAGTCTGGCCTTTTTTAGAAATTCGAGTTCTGTTCTAGATTTTTTTCTCCCATTCTAACCAGAACCTTCTATGGTATCCCTGGTCAGAATGGTCAGTAGGGGTAGCCGGGCACCATCTAGTTCTTCTGGTCTCAGGCTGTGGTTCTTGTGGACCATCCGTCCTGCGGACCAAGTTTTCCCTTGAATCTTTGGTTTCCTTCACTCTCCTTTGCTCCAGATGGGAAGAGACCCATAGTTGTATCCTAGGTGGCCACTTGCAAGCTTTTAAGACCCCAGACACTACTCACCAACCCAGGATGCAGAGCATTATCTTTATGAGCTGTGTTATGCCAATTGATGTAGATGTCCCCTGAGACTATGGTCTTGAGCTCCAAACACAGTAACTCAGTGCCATGAGGTGTTTGGATATGTCTAGGAAGTTTCCTTGACTGTGCCCCCTACGTGCTCTATTATAGATATGCAGCACACATAAACATGTATATACCTATGCATGCAGATACACCTGTACGTGCATGCTCATATACTCACATGTGCATTCCTATACCCATATATGTATACATGTCTACCTATGTAACCACACATATATTTTACTGGGGATATATTTTAAGGGGATACTGCATGGTTTAAAATCAGGAAAGGTGTTCATCAGAGTTGTATTCTTTCACCATACTTATTCAATCTGTATGCTGAGCAAATAATCCAAGAAACTGGCCTATATGAAGAACGCATCATCAGGACTGGAAGAAGCCTCATTAACAACTTGTGATATGCAAATGACACAACCTTGCTTGCTGAAAGTGAAGAGGACTTGAAGCACTTACTGATGAAGATCAAAGACTACAGCCTTGAATACAGATTACACCTCAACATAAAGAAAATAAAAATCCTCAAAATTGGACCAATAATCAACATTTTGATAAATGGAGAAAAGACTGAAGTTGTCAAAGATTTCATTTTACTTGTATCCACAACCAACACCCATGGACTCAACAATCAAGAAATCAAACAATTTATTGCATTGAGCAGATCGGCTGCAAAAGACCTTTTTAAAGTGTTAAAAAGCGAAGAAGTCCACTTAGTTCACTTTGAGGACTAAGGTGTGCCCGACCCAAGTCATGGTATTTTCAATTGCCTCATATGCATGCAAAAGTTGGACAATGAATAAGGAAGACCAAAGAAGAATTGATGACTTTGAATTATGGTGTTGGCGAAGAATATTGAATATATCGTGGACTGCCAGAAGAATGAACAGATCTGTCTTGGAAGAAGTACAGCCAGAATGCTCCCTGGAAGCAAGGATGGCAAAACTTCATCTCACGTACTTTGGACATGTAATCAGGAGGGACCAGACCCTAGAGAAGGACATCATGTTTGGTAGAGTAGAGGGTCAGCAAAAAAGAGGAAGACCCTCAAGGAGATGGACTGACCCAGCGGCTGCAACAATGGGCTCAACAATTGTGAGGATGGCACAGGACTGGGCAGCATTTCATTCTGTTGTACACAGGGTCACTATGAGTTGGAACCAACTCGGCAGCAGCTAACAACAACATTATTGTTGTTGCAAAATTATGTTACAGTTTTTACCAAAATTGTCCCTTATTCTTAGTAATTTCTTAATGTCTTCATTTACCTTCAACGAGTTGTGCAAACTTCACCTATATTGGGTACTGCCTTTCTTGTTACCAAAAATAACAACTGTCTATTATCTAGAAAGTGATTCCCCCCTTCCTCCTCCCATCCCTGGCAACAATCAAAGAATGTTGCTTTCTGTGTGTATTCCTCTTCTTGATTTTTTATAAAATGATGCCATATAATATTTGTCCTTTTGTGACTGACTTATTTCACTCAGCATAACGTCCTCCAGATTCATTCATGTTGTTTCACAGACGCCTCATTGTTCTTTATAGTTGCATAATATTCCATTGTAAGTATGTACCACAATCTACTTATCCATTCATCTACTGATGGGCACTTAGATTGTTTCCAACATTTTTGCTATTGCGAATAATGCTGCAATGAACATAGGTGTGCATGTGTCTATTCATGTCACTGCTCTTATTTCTCTAGGACATATACCTCGGATTGGGATTGCTGGATCATAAGGTATTTCTGTTTCTAGCTTTTTGAAAAAGTGCCTTGTTGTTCTCCATAGTGGTTTACCATTTTTCATTCCTACCAGCAATGTAAAAGAGTTCCTGCCCCCCACCACAACCTCGCCAGCACTTGTTACTTTCTGTGTTTTTGATCATTGCCATTTTTGCAGGGGTGAGATGGTATCTCATTGTAGTTGTGATTTGCATCTCTCTAATGGCTAATGATTATGAGCATCTTTTTATGTATTTGTTGGTTACCTGAATGTCCTCTTTGGTGAACCGTCAGTTCATGTCCTTTGCCCATTTTTTGATTGGATTGTTTGTCTTTTTGTTTAGTTGTTGAAGTTTTCTATATATTTTAGAGATTAGACCCTTATCAGATATGTCTCTGCCAAAGATTTTTTCCTAGTCTCTAGATTCTGTTTCTACTCTCTCAGTAAAGTCTTTTGATGAGCATTGGTATTTAATTTTTAGGATGTTCCAGTTATCTAATTTACCTTCTGTCCTTCATGCATTTTTTTGTTTTGTTTGATATTCTATTTTTGCCAAAGATTAGGTCCCCTAGTTTAGACCCTATGTTTTCTTCCAGGAACTTTAGGTTTTAGCTTCAACACTTAGGTCTTTGAGTCATTTTGAGTTAGTTTTTGTGTATGATGTGAGGATCCTGACATATTTTTCTGCATATGGATATCCAGTTTTTCCAGCACTATTTGTTGAAGAGACTGTTTCTTCCCCCCACTGAATGGGCTTTCACCCATAGATGGACGGATTTACTTCTGGGTTCTCAATTCTATTCCACTGGTCTATGTGTCTGTCATTGTACCAGTACCAAGCTGTTGTGATTACCATGGCTGTGTAAGTTTTGAGATGGGAAGTGAGAGGTCTCCTACTTTGTTCTTCAATATTGCTTTAGCTATTCGGGGCCTCCTTCCTTTCCATATAAAGTTGAAGATTAGCTTTTCCATTTCATTAAAGAATGTTGTTGGGATTTGGATAGGGATTGCATTATATCTATGATCACTTTTGGTAGTTGTCTTAGTTATCTAGTGCTGCTATAACAGAAATACCACAAGCAGATGGCTTTAACAAACAGAAGTTTATTCTCTCACAGTGCAGCACACTAGAAGTCCAAATTCAGGGCAGCAGCTCTGCAGGAAGGCTTCCTCTCTCTGTGGGCTCTGGAGGAAGGTCCTTGTCATCAATCTTCCCCTGGTCTAGGAGCTTCTCAGGCACAGGGACCCTGGGTCCAAAAGATGTGCTGTGCTCCCAGCGCTGCTTTCTTGGTGGTATGAGGTCCCCGTGTCTCTCTGCTGACTTCTCTCTTTTGTATCTCAGAAGAGACTGACTTAAGAAACAACCTAATCCTGTAGATTGAGTCCTGCCTCATTAACATAATTGCCTCTAATCCTGACTCATTAACACCATAGAGGTAGGATTTACATCAGGAAAATCGCATCGGTTGACAAAATGGTAGACAATCACCCAATACTGGGAATCATAGACTAGCCAAATTGACACACATTTTGGGAGGACACAATTCAATCCGTACCAGTAGTACTGACATTTTCACAATGTTAAGTCTTCCAATCCATGAGGAGCATGGAATGTTCTTCCATTTATGTAGATTTCTTTCAGTTTCTTGCAGTAGTGTTTTATATGTCTTTTATATCCCTGTATAAGTCTTTTACATCCCTGATTAGGTTTATTCCTAGGTATTTTATCCTTTTGGTGGATATTGCAAACGGTATTGATCTCTTGATCTCCTTTTCAGAGTCCTCTTTGTTAGTGTCAAGGAACTCAACTGATTTTTGTGTGTCGATCTTGTACCCTATCACTTTGCTGAAACTTTCTACCAGTTCCAGTAACTTCCTTGTGGAGTCTCTGGGATTTTCTATGTATAGAATCATGTCATCTATGAATAGGGATAGTTGTACTTCTTCCTTTCCAATCTGGATATCCTTTATTTCCCTTTCTTGCCTTATTGCTCTAGCTAGAACTTCCAGTACAATATCGAACAGGAACGGTGATAAAGGGCATCCTTGTCTAATTTCCATTCTTAAGGGGAATGCTCTCAATCTTTCTCCATTCAGAGTAACAGAGAAATGTTTTATTTCTTCCACTTTTCTGACACCAAGGTTCTATTGCTATTGCTATGTAAAGTTGTATTCTCTTTTAGTGTACTTAAAAAACACATACACACATCTTTCAGAACTAAAAATCCTCTCTCTAAGCCTTGATCTTTCAAACCTAAAAGTTCTAATCATTTTATTCTGCTGCAACCGGACTCAAACAACCTTTCCTCCCCTGGATCATTCTGGTTGTCTCTCTCTGGGCATTCTCCAACTCTTTCTTACACTACACCAATTAGAATTATAGAGGATTGCGCAGTTGAAGAATGGTTTCATAAACTCGGAGAGCTAGTCTCTGTTATTTTCATCATTCCCTTTCCAATGACATGCAATTTTCATTTAAATACCAATGTCATCAGGAAACAAACTATGGCTACTAGATTTGTTCCTTGGTCATAATTAATAACTATAAGTAAGTACTAAAGTTTATATACGGCCTGCAGTAAAGTACAACTATTCTCTCAGAGAACTTCAAGAGATCTTGTACTTTATTGCCATCAGCCTAGCAAAAAGGTTAACATTTGCTGCAAACCTTAGAGTTTTCTTTGCCCTCCTTCTTCTCAGGCTCTTATAAAAGTATCAGATGAAAGAAATCTCAATACCCTTGCCTGGGTGACCACCTATTTTGCAATTTTCTTCTCCAACATGAGAAGTACCTATTGGTCCTTACCTTTTGTTTTCTGCATTTTGATACAGACATAGGGCTGGTGAACATTCTGACCAGTGAGTACCACAGTTACACGTGTCCTTCACTCCTCAAGTAAAAATCACTTAGTTTCAGTAATTACTGACATGTGATTTATCAAGTATTAATTCTAACCAAACTGGTGATTTTAGTATCTAAAATATCCTATGTATTTACTATTAGATTTAATGTTTGCATCAAAAGACAGCTTGGGGATGAGAATTTTCCCATGGTCTTTGTTACTAAAGATGAATACAAATAATTCACTTTGTCTCTTTCTATCATTTTCATTTGATATCCTTCCTTTTAACTGTGATCGTCTTTCCTCGATTTTTAAAAACATTTACTGTGTTTTGAATATCATGAAAAATAATCTTAGAATTATTTGTAAGTTTCTATATTATATCTGACCATCTGCCCTACTTAGCAAGCACGCCTGTTCTCTTGAAAAAGTACCTTTTGCCTAAAAGAGTTGGGGTTTTTTTGTTTTGTTTTTAACTTTCTCAATAAGTTTTTCATGGTTTGTTTGGTTTGTTTTTTCTACCCAAGCACTTTTGGTCCCATCACATATTATTTTGGGTTTCCAATAAGATGATTTTAAAGTCCTCGTGATTTTCATGTATTATTTAATATAATAACTATTCCATTCAGTATTTTTCATACTACTTCCATTTTATTGTAACTCCTATTGCACCATAAAAGGCAGATTTCTTTGAGTTTTCTTCCCATTACTGAGCACTGAACAAATCATGTTCTAGTTGCCATATTTACTAGTATATGAAATTTTACATTTAAAAAAATATGTATTTTCTATTTTCAGGTCAATAACTTATAATGCCATGTTTACCTTTATATGATCAGATGATTCTTATGACGTTGTAACCTAAATTTGCATATTTGTTTATTAAGTCATAGTAGAAACTCTAAAATCATTATAATTTCTGAGCTGTAGTCTCACAAAGAAAGGGAGGGTTGTGGTTCCTAACAATTCACATGAATCGTATTAGAGGATTTTAACCCTTACTTCAGGAAGCAAACAATCTCCAAGAAATGTTTTTCAAATAGATTATTAATCCTTGCAATTGCTGTCTACTCACTAGCTGGTAACATCCCTAATATTTTTTATTAAAGAAAGTGACTTATTTTGCCTAAGTCATAGATATAAATCATTAGGAATTTTATACAAGTTAACTAAGTTAAAAATAAGCAATGCTTTAAACCAAAGAATTATTCTAAAAAGTCATATTTTACTAAGCAAAAATAAGCATTATTACATACCTGACAAATAGCAAATCCAAAACCATTTGCAGAAACATTAACTGCAGTTGGCTGTACCACAGAAAGCTGAATAAAAGTGAAAAAAAAAAGTGAATAAGGCTAATTTTCAATATCTATGTATATTTCCAAATAGCACAAGAAATCAGTGTTATTCCTCACTCGAAGTATAAGCATTCTGTGGAAAGGGGTAAGAGCTTTACATGGCCTCACATGTCAAAAGCTAAGTGTCAACCAGGTATGAGGTGAAAACAGAGGAAGTGCACAGTCTCTGGACACCCTCACTTCTGCCCTTTGGGAGGGCACATTAGTACTACTGACAGGTCTCCCTTCCTGTAGGGGTTGAGAAGCATGAAAGTCATCTCCTTCCCATAAACTCCCTTAGCCAGGGCCTTAATCCTCTGGCCTTCCTGAGAACACAATAACACATCATTATTGACTAAACTAACCTTCTTCCCTCTGTTTCTTTCCCATCACCCCTCTTCCTCAGTTTCTAGCTTTGAAGTCATCATCTTCATCCACTGCCCTCAACTTCCCACAAGGTTAAACAAGTGAATAAAGTTAGGGATTACCATGGTCCTTTATTTCATTTTAAGGTAAGAATTCTACCACTGGTCCTACTCAACTCTCCTAAGAGAAAGTGTGATGCAGCTGAAAAAAAAAAATGGCCTTTGATATCATGAGTTCAAATCCTAGCTCTACTCTCACTAGTATATGATCTTAAGGAAGCTACTTAATTTTTCTGGGCCTCAGTTTCATTATGCGTTCAATGGGAATAAAAGTATCTACTTCTTAGTGTTGTTTTGAGAGGTAAATGCAAAAACATATATAAAGGAATCTAGCACAGTACCTACAAAGAATAGGAACTCAGTGGATAGTTAATTCCCTTCCCAATATGACCGTGTCCATCTTTTCTCCTTTTCCACCAATCTTTCCAAAGTTCCCATCCCCTCCACCCTTTCCCAATTCAGCAAATTCAACCAAAGGAGGTCACCCCCTCCTCCTTGCCTCTCTACAGGGTCCTGGGAATAACTTTTGTTGAAATAAATATAATGGAAATAAAGTAGTATTCCATCCTGAAGAATTACCTGCACAGAATTTTAAATACCCACCCCTTGTCCATACAATGCATTACCTACCTCTGCTGATTGAAGGAGAAAGCGGTTCTGCGTGTCAATCAGAAATTTTATAGGACTTGGTGAACTAGACCCCATCACTGTCACTTGGACATCTGTTGATTCTGTGTTCATTAGGGCTGCAAATTCAGACAGGGCTTTCAAGGCCACGATGGTATCCTATTGAGGAAAGAAAAATGTTTGTGCATAAAAGTAGACAGGCTGTCCCCAACTTATGATGAGGTTCTGTTTCAACGACTCCATTGTAAGTCAGTTCTGACATAAGTCGAATACCTTTTGTTTTAGTTTTCAGTATTATTGCCTTTTATTATCAGTATCCTTATAAATTCGATCTTTATTTCTCTTTGGAGGTTGGAAACGTTACTTATAAACTTGTAGATATGATGACATCAGCAAACTACACGCTGCAACACTGTCTGTAGTACATATTACTAACAGTAAGATGCGCCAAAAAAAAAAGGATAGCTGTAAGTACAGTTTGTCGTAACTTGAATACGTAGTAAGTTGGGGACTACCTGTATATCAATGTCTCCTAAGAGTAAATTTAGTAATGTTTATGACACCTGCTATATATTCATCCATCTTCCTTGAGAGTGGGACTCTGGTAGGATCTTAATTGTGTCCTCACAAAATATGTGTTGAAATTCTAACCCCTATACCTGTAAATATCTGTTTAGAAACAGGGTTTTTTTGTTTTTTTGTTTGCTATCTTAATGAGGTCATATCGGAATGGGGTGGGTCCTAAACCTAATCACTTCTGAGTTATAAAAAGAGCAGAATAGACACAGAGACACACAGTGGGGGAGACAGACATCAGGAATACCAAAGAATGCTAAGGAATGCCAAGGAACACCGAAGACCTCATGGGGCTACCGACAAGGAAGGACCTCTCACTATAGTCACATCCTGAATTCAGACTTCTAGTTTATTAGACTGTGAGAAAATAAATATCTGTTCTTTAAAGTCACCCACTTGTGGTATTTTTGTTACAGCAGCACTAGGTAACTAAGACACTCTCCCTTACTCATCTTTGAATCTCCTTGGCCTAGTTTACATGAGAGCTCAGCAAATGTTTGCTGAATTCAACTGTGCATCTACTTTTATATCAGTTACCAGGACAGATGAAAAGTGGCTAAGATAGCTGGGAAATTAATTTACTCCTAATAGATATCAGATACGAAGTTTCATATCAATAATGAGAAAAAAGTAATATTAGTAGCTTAAACTTTTGACTTAAGTTACTAAAGTTTTAAATTGCCAAGTAATTTTATGAAGACATAAAAAAGTAATCATATGCTTCCTAAAATATATATGTATACACACACATATAGTTAAAAAAAAAAACAAAAAACTATCATCGCTCACCTGCGTAGAAGCAAAACCTCCGAAGCTATTTCTTTGCCTGCTTAGCCACCTCATAATTGCTATTCCCTCGGGAACCCGAAATTGCAAAAAGTATGAGAGTAGTGCATAGGCTGCAACTTCAATATCCAGAGAGCTTGGCTGCCAAGATTCAGAAAGTTTGGACACTGATGACACCCAGAATTGCATGCCTCCTGCAAGAGAAAAGTAATAACATTCTGATCAATTATAGAAAAGTCATATTTTATGCCACTAAATATTCCTAACTGAGTCAAGTTCTACTTGACTAGCATAAAAATAATTTTTTTTATATGTACACATTTATGCCAGGCAAGTATATGTATGTGTGTATTCACACATGTACACATGTAAGTATGTATGTACATGTCATTTTTTAAACTATTACAACATAAATTATCATCATTTTCCTATTGCCTATATTTCAGAATGCTTTGATGAAAACATTTTTCCCAAGAGAAATTCTATATGTTTGTCTTAAGACTAAAGAGCTATAAGTAAAAGTAAGAAAAAACGTATCATATTCCAGAAGATAATGTAGATAACTTATCTGACTAGGCCATCCTAAAAAAAAATTTTAGGGCGCACTGGAAAGAGTGCCTTGGAAAGAACTCTGTTGTAGAAATCTGCCATTAACCAGTTCTAACCTTCTGGAAAGCCTCTCCCTTTCTCGTTATCTGAAAGCTAGTGTTCTAAGTTGAAAGTCCAAGCCTCCCCAAAGAAAAAACTTGTATTAGGGACCCCAGCCAACTCGACAACCTTCCTAGAGACAATCCTGCCCTAGTCCCTGGAGGACCATCCCGTTTGGTGGTCCCCTCGCCCTCTCTCAAATATTACTATTAGAATGATGATTACACTTAGATGGGATGTGAAATAACTACCAATTAGCCAAGCAGAGAAGAAGTGTCAAAGACTACTTCAGTCTTCATGCAATAATCTTCTAGTCCCTACCAATGGAATAAGTGATAAAATTCAATCCAAGTTACAGCTAATAATAATACAGTATTTTATGCAGTCTCAGAAGTCTCAAAGCATTTTCTACAATTATCCCTCCTTTGAATCAGTGGGCATCACCTAAAATTATTTCTGCCTATCCGTCTCTCTCTCTCTCACAAACACACACATATACACATACTGTGCACACACACAGTCTGGATCCCTGACCTCATAGAGGACATTTGGGCAGTAATGACAGCTGTACTTTTTGTCCTGTTTAAGTCTTAAAGCAGTCCCTTCTCAAAAAAAGAAAAAAAAACCACAAACAAAATCACACACATAACCCACACAACTAAGCATTTTCAGGTATTTGCATTTCGATTAATTAACATTTTAGTTTATATTTTTGAACACTTGCTATTTGGTAGGCACTGCACATCATCTCATTTAGTCCTAACCAAACCCGTTGCTATCAAGTCGATTCCGACTCACAGCAATCCTATAGCAACCCTAAAATAGGTGATATTCCAACTTTATTGTTGGGGAAACTGAAGTTCATAAAAGTAAGTAGCAGAACCAGAATCTGAACCCAAGTCTCTCCAGAACCCAAAGTTTTAGAGACCATTTAAGGCCTCCAAACCAGAAATGGTATCGAGGAATTCAGGGGGCAACTGAAGTAGGTCAGAACATATCTAAAAGAAGAAGCCAGCGGGCCCCAAAATCCCTCCAAAACTCTTACGGAGACTAGAAGCAGTACGGCCATGTCAGGCCCATCTGGATTCTATTCTATGTTTCATTTTTCATTTCATTCAGAGAATACAAATATAATCAACTCATTCCCTGCTTACAAAATTTTCTCATATAATTTATATATTTCATAATGCATAACACAGTCTAACCTTCAAACAGGTCCTAGTAGCTCCAAACATTACCTTCTTGTTCTGCTCTCTGAGTCAGCATATTCAAAGCTTCCTGTGCTGTAGGACTCCTCACCGATGACAGCGCGTAAGTTACAAGAGCTAGAGTGTAATTGTCTGAAATTCCTCTGTTGAATTCAGACTCCAAAAAGGTGATAGACTCTTGGACATCAATATTAGGCTTGGGCGGGGGGGGAAACATATTTTACTATTCAAAATTACCTATTACCACATATTTAAGTAAAAAGTACATTGAAAGATTAATTCAAAAAATAATTTCAGTGTCTATTAAGCACCTAGGAACCCTGGTGGTGCACTGGTTAAGAGCTTGGCTGCTAACCATAAAAAGGTCAGCAGTTTGAATCCACTAGCCACTCCTTGGAAACCCTTTGGGGCAGTTCTACTCTGTCCTATAAGGTTGCAATGAGTCGGGAAACGACTTAACAGCAACAGGTTTGTTTTTTTTTTTTGGCGGGGGGAGGGGTTATTAAGCACCTGGCCTTGTCCTAGGCAATGGGAATCAACAATGATCATTGACATTTAAAGGTTTGCCATGCATTTGCAAAATAATATTGCTTTTCAGTTTTCATAAGTAAAGAGACACCATTCCTTAGAGGGAATAAGAAATAAGAAGTGGTGCTTTTGTCAGTGTTTCTCTAACTGGGTATCATGAACACAAATGAGCTGAAAATACACCTTTAGAAAAATATTTCTCATGTTTGATCTTAAGCATTAAAGCTCTAAATTCAGGGAATAAGTGTATCTTCTACATATCTAATACAGAGTTAGGAAAATGCCCACTGCCATCTAGTCTATTCTTACTCATAGTGGCCCTACAGGACAAAGCAGAACTGCCCCATAGGGTTTCCAAGGCCATAACCTTTACAGAGGAGCCCTGGTGGTACGATGGTTAAGAGATAGGCTGCTAACCAAAAGGTTGGCAGTTCAAATCCACCAGCTGCTCCTTGGAAACCCTATGAGTTGGAATCAATCAGACGGCAACAAGTTTGGTTTTTTGGTTTGGTAATCTTTACAGAAGCATCTTTCTCCCTTGGAACGGCTGGTGGGTTCGAACTACAGAGCTTTCAGTTAGCAGCCAAGAGCTTAACCAGGGCTCCTTAGCTAGGAAAATAGTAGGAGCTTAATAAAAAGAATGGCAGTTTTGGATCATGTGAATGCAGGCAGCAGTTAAGCAGTAAAGGCATCAATCACTAAGACAGCTCTGGAGCAAAATTAGCTCATTAGCATCGCCTTCGGAGTACACACATTCTCATCCAGGCTCATTTAGTGTGCTTTTCAGAGCGTGAGTGTCCTTTGTATTAAATTAGGGGCATTATCATTGTTCCATTAAAAAAAAAAAAAAAATCTTCCTTCACAACTTAAACTTGTTAGAACAAGTTCTCGAAGCATTTTTTCCCCCCAGAAAATTCACCTGCCCAGTGATAAAATATGTATTGGCTTATCAATAACCAGTACAAAAGCATTTATATTAGAAAGTATTTTTTAATAAATTCTTTCAGTTGCTCTGAAAGAGTAAGTTTATATTTTTTATTCTCTGATTTTGGAACATGACCACAAATACAAAGCAAAAGAGTGTTCAAATTCAGATTTCAAATATGATACAAATTTACAAAACTCTTAAGTTTCCAGACATATATTTCACCCAACAAGACCTATATTTCTTGTGATTTCTACTCATCGTTTATTAAATTGAAGATGAAATACCTGATATTTTTTATATCCCAGGAGAGAAGTCACAATATAGGCTGTAAGTGTTACTGGACTTTTATTGCCACCTTGAAGCTCACTATGGATCACTCTTCCTGGCTCCCAAAATTCACCACTGGATTTCTGATGTCCTTTGAGCCAAGTGTATGTTCTTTGTAATACATTCTGATCAATATCTATGTAAGGATCAGCTTCAAGGAAACATCTTAAAACAAAAGCTGACAACCTGGGTGAAAAGAGAAAAAATTACACAAAATATACTTTAAAAAGTCCTCCAAATAGCACTGAGCAAGCAAAAAACAACATCATGTTTTTCCCACCAGAAGATTCACAAGATGGACTATCACTAAGAAGGAACACAGGGAAAACAGATAGCAAAGAGACAACATAAAGGCAACCTCTGCCTAGGGGGTGGACTCGGTTACACTTGAATGTGGCCATGAAATTCCAACTCAGAAAATATCAAATTTGGGAAGGAATTTAGAAATAAACTAATCTAGCCTTCTTATTTTATAGATTGAGAATTTGAAACATCAAGAGAGTTAAATTGTCCAAGGTTACTCATCTTTGGACTGTTCTAGATATTGACTAAAGAACACTGCATTACATGCTTCTCCCAGAACCAAAAGCATGGATGAAGTGGATATAGTATAAAATCAAACTTCCCTACTTTTGATTGGCGGGGAGGAGAAACCATTATTTTTTTCTCCTATAGGACAGGAATCAGGAAACTTCAGCCCTGGGCTAAATCTGCCTTGCTGAAATCTGGCCCTCAGGTTAAATATCACCTGGGGCCTGTTTCTGTGTGACCTTTTCCTTCTCACCTAGGAATGGAATGAAATGGGAAGGGAAAGGAAGAGAAAGGAAGGCAAGGGAAGGGTAGAAAAAGAATATAAAACAGAGACTGTGTATGTGTCTGAAGGCCTGCAAAGTCCAAACTATTTACCATATGACCCTTCACAGAAAAAATTTGTCTATCCCTGCTACCAGACCAATTCCGACTTACAGCAACCACTAAATACTGAGTTGAAAAGAACGTCAAGTAATTCAGCAATGAAACTCTTCTATTTACAGATCTATATCCTGACTCATGCCAAAAGAAAATCTGAAGCAGATCTGTTTCATCTTATAAAAGGTTTATTGTGGTAAACATTACTAATATTCAATAATATCCTGTTCTCTTCTACTTCGAGTACACAGGAATTCACGTCTCTGCCCCCTTGAAGTTAGGCATGGCCATGTGACTAGCTCTGACAATGAAAAAGTGAGTACAAATGTTACTTCCGAGGTGAAGCCTCTAATAGCCAAAGCTAAATACTCCAGCTAGATACTCCAGGCTGTTGCAAGCTCCTGAATCCTGTGCTGAAATGGTGGCAACTGAAGCGAAGACTACAGAGCCCCCTGCGAACCCATAACGGAAATGCAACATGAAGAAGAAACAAACCTTTGTTGTTATAAACTACTGAGATTTGAGAGATTATTTGTTACCACAGCATATCTAGTCTAACCTGACACAATTAGGCAATCTTTTTCTGAGTACAATATGAAATTGGAGATAGCGCAAGGACAGAGAGTCTAAAATCAGCCATGCAGAGATTCCATTCTAGAGGCAACTGTGGGTGTCCATTACTTAATCCTGTAAATACTTGTTTATCATAAAAATAAGCGTACAGAAATTATGTGGACCATGTTGCCACAACACTTGCATTAATCATATTAAGGAAAGAACTATGTCAAAATCACCCAGTATTTTTAATCAGTTTTTCTTGTCAGCTTCATGAGCATCATAATGCATTTTTATTGTGGCTATTCCCACAATAAAAGAGGAGTTTATTACTTTCCTTTCCTAAATAAAAACATCTGATTTGTTAATGTTATTAAATCATATTTAGAAACGCGAATCTCTTTTAAAGCAAGACTAGCGGTCAAAATGAAAAGCAGCATCCAAGTCCACATATCTGTCAATGTCATGGTCATTTTAACCTAGTGAAATCCTTCCTATTCCACGGCATGGATTTGTTCAATCCGCGAAAATACTTACCAAGTGCTCCCAGAAGGGTCGTCATTCCCAAAAGCACTGAAAGAGCCATCCTCCCTTTGATAGAGAAGTTCTCTCTGGTAACCTGATGACATAAAAATGGACATTAAATGTAATCAACTTGTACTGAATGGAATTTTCTAATCATGATTGCATACTGAAGAAACAAGAGTAGGGAAAAGGAGACATCAAGTCAACATCTAATATTGATTATTTTCTATTGTCAGTACTATGAGAGATTTAAAATACCAAGACTTTTCAAGTAGAATTTGTAGAATAAGAACTTCAATATCCCCAAACTGGAATCTGTAAGTAAATTCAAAAGAACACTATAGCATAGACAACACTTCTAGCCACTGAAAAGCAAACAAATTAAGGGTAGAGTTTCATTTAACCCAGTGTTCACTATAATGGCTTCATAGCTTAGCCATTTAAAATTGTTTACTACTTAAGAAAAATACTATCCTGAGCATCATAATTAAAGTTTAAGGGCAAAACAAAAATGTAAAAATACTTTATATTCTTAAGTCAGCAATAGAGGGAAAATTTGTTAAATAAAGTAAGACAATGGCTCTTCATTTTTTGGCAAAAAAAGGGAAAGAAAACACAGAAAAAGATAAATTAGAAACTAATGATTTTGTTTTACACACAAGGAGTAGGGAGAAGGGATAGGAGAGGGACAGACACCCCTTTGAGTGTATCTTTCAGAATAATTTGACTTTTGGAAACATGTTAATGTTCTATGTACTAAAAAAATAAAATCAACAAAAATGAAAAATTAAATCATAAGCATCATTATTAAAGCTGCCCTAATTAACTTTAACACATTTTAATTTTCATATAACTTTGAAAAAATGCAGCATGTGATCTCTTCATTTTTCAGAGGGAGGCAGGGATCACAGACAAGCAGAATAATTTTCTAATGTTCACAAAGAAAATCAGCAAAAGAGTCCAGGACATTATCCCTCAATTTCCAATTCAGGACAAAATTCACCAAACAGCCAGAGTTCAATTCTGAACTCAATCTGACTTTTAAAAAAAGAAAGAACAAAAGAAAAAGTTTAGGGTCTTCCATCACTATAGGAGGTACTTCTGTGAGAAGAAGGACCAACTTTGAGGAGAGGACAACGTGCCTCCAAGTGTCTGCAATCACATCAACAACTGCCGTTCCAATATGAGATTACTGTAAAACTGGTCAGAGAGATGAGATCATGGAGATGAGATCAGTGCTTATGGAAATTACCTTCAGGTGGCCGACCTCCAATATTCCCCATTAATATCAACAACTAGCACCATAGAGACAGCCAGCCCAGAAGTGGGGGCGGGGTACCCACATTCAATATCCAGTCATGAAGTGAATTTCTTAATTCAGTTTAGACAAAATGGAGAAAACCAAACCTCTAGCTCAGCTCCCAAGGCAAAACAAAGGAGAAAATCAGAAGCTGGAGAAGAGTTTATGCGACCCTCCTTGTGCAGTCTCCTGTAGGTTTTCTTCCTATCTTAAATCAGCCATACATTACTGGAGAACTCTCTGCTGCTTGTCCTCCAAATCACCCCAGTGTATCAGGCCTAATTTCCATTCCATAAGCAGAAAAAGACATTATTGATTTTACTGTAATGTTTACCATTGAGTTAGAAAGTAATAGTATAACCAGAATTAGAAGAAACTTGTGCAAATTGAAATACAAAAGAAGTCAAGCGGCTCCTGGGATAATGACTTAGGAACTCCTATTTATAAAGGGTCAGATATCCACTTTACTGGGTCATGAATTTTCCTTGAAATATCCATGAGTGTAAAATTACACAATTTATCATGTTGTTGTTGTTGTTGTTGTTAGGTGCCATCCCTAAAGGTGCGACCCTATGTACAACAGAATGAAACACTGTTCGGTCCTGTGCCATCCTAACAATCGTTGTTATGCTTGAGCCCATTGTTGCAGCCACTGTGTCAATCCTCTCATTGAGGGTCTTCCTCTTTTTGCTGACCCTCTACTTTACCAAGCATGATATCCTTCTCCAGGGACATAATTTTTTTTCCCTGTTTTTATTTCAATAGAGAAAATATAATGTTTTCAACTAGACTTGGTCTGAGTCTCGCTTGAAATAGCCGCAGGCACTGTGATTTAAATATTTGAGGAAAACAAGGGGTTTAAAAAGCTTCAATTAACAGGTTCAGGATTTGCAGTGCTTATCCCTCCTGATAACATGTCTAAAGTATGTGAGATGTAGTCTCACCCTCCTTGCTTCTGAGGGACATTCTGGTTGTACTTCTTCCAAAGACAGATCTGTTCATTCTTTTGGCAGTCCATGGTATATTCCATATTCTTCGCTGCCACCACAATTCAGAGGCATCAATTCTTCTTCGCTCTTCTTTATTCACTGTCCAGCCTTCACATGCATATGAGGTGATTAAAAACACCATAGCTTGGGTCAGGCGCACCTTAATCTTCAAGGTGACATCTTCGCTTTTGAACACTTTAAAGAGGTCTTTTGCAGACGATTTGTCCAATGCAATGCATCTTTTGATTTCTTGACTACTGTTTCCAGGGGCATTGATTGTAGATCCAAGTAAAATGAAATCCTTGACAACTTCAATCTTTTCTCCGTTTATCA